ATTTACGAATTCATGCTTTGAGCTTGATGGACCTAATTATATTAGATAGAATCCTTTTAACTTTCGTAGCTTTGCATCTAATTAAATAAGATTTTTTGACTCAGCTTTTCATGCTGATTCAGAATATAATGTTTTTAAAAAGTTGATAAAATAAACGCTATCGAAATTGATCAGTTTTTGTATGAAAAGTGAATTCGTCACTAGACATACTATGTTTTAGTTGTTTGATGTATTTAAGGATTTTTCCAGCTAAACAGTGATTGAATCAAAAATAAAAAAGTATATATTCGTGATCAGCTTTTCAAGCTTTACCAAACCATATGTAAATGAACAAGAAAAAATTTTCCGGTACCTTTCACTATAATGTATGTTTTTTGTTTTCAAGTTATTGGTTCATCATATTAGTTTTATGATATTACTTTATGATAATGATAATTCTGGTTAAGTTAAAGCTGAAGATAATCGACAAAAAACATTCGAAAATGGTCCATATATTCTTGCTCCTTTTTGATAGAATTTTTTTGAAATAAAACAAACAACGTGCATTGCTTTATATATTCTACTATATATGTTCATTTTTTCTATTGTGTGATTAAAGAAATCAATTGCAGAAAAGCAAAAACTAAGACAGGCAGATAAATTTTTATGTTAAATAGTACAAGTCGACTTGTTCTCAATTCATTTCAGTCTAATTTTACAAAAGTATTTCCACACGTGATCAAAAATTCCCTCTTTATGTTTTATGTTTATAATTAAAGGAAGAATGAGTTCTATTTTTACCTTATCATTAGTTTTCATTCAAATGCGTTTTAATAAAGGATTATTTGCGTGATATATATATATATATATTCTGTCAAAACTACTGTCATAGAATCTTAGCTTTTATTCATCATAATTTATCAAATTTCATATACGAGCAGCTGCATATTGACCTTGAAACATCAGCATGAACTCTACCATGAATGATAACTTTCTTCGCTTGCTTCAATCAATACTTCAAACTCTCTATGCTACCGTCGGTCTTGTACTTTTTATTATCGACACAATTGGAAATCTATTTAATGTCATATTGTTCTCTCGTCTAGAAAGTTTGAACAAATTACCCAGCTCGTTATTTTTACTTGCCTCTTTCATTGGTAGTCAAATTATGTTGATTACTGGCCTTGTTCCTCGTGTCATTGTTGGATTGACTGGTAATACTTCATTAGTGAATTTTTTACTTTTGTGTAAAGTTCGTACAATGCTAAAACCAGCCAGTGCCACATTTTCAATGGCTTGTGTTTGTCTCGCTGCGTTTGATCGCTATTTATATTCATCTCTTGATTTGCGTTGTCAGCGATGGGTTACACTTCAACAAACTCGTTTAATTATTACCATTACAGTTATACTATGCCTTGTTGTATTTTCGCCGTATGCAGTGTTGTTTTACACAGCACCAGTTCCATCATCTTGTTCAATTGTTAATCCAATCTTTATTTATGTCCAACCATGTTTAAGTTTAATTTTCTACAATTTGGCACCAGTGGTTATTCTTAGCATTATCTGTTCGTTAATTTGGCGAAATTTAGGGCAACAGGTAGCATTTTATTTAAGAGGACATATTCGTTGCTACGATCAAGTCACTCCATTAATTATTGCCCAGATGATTGTTATCCTAGCTACAACTTTTCCTACTGTTATATGGCTGATTTATACGATTACAACTCAAAACGTATCCAAGAGCTCGCTCCTTCATGCTCAAGAAGCCATAGTCAGTACTGTCTTTGTATTACCTGCATATTGTCCATACTCAATCATGTTTTACGTCTATTTGATTGTGTCACCCGTATTTCGACGAAACGTAAAATGTTTAGTCTTGGGCAAACGTCGAATTTTACCAGAGATAAATACGCAACGCATCAGAAAATCGAATATAGCATTAGAATTGCGCATGTGACATATATCAACTGATTTGTACATCGAAAAACTGCTATAGTTTGCTTTATTGTATATTTATATATTTTTATTGATGTCAATATATCGTAAAATAAAACGTCCTATCAAATTGTTGTTTCTGTACAGTCACAAGCTGGTTATGATTGGTTTTTAGAAAACAACAGTTAAAGCATGAGTGTCTAAATCGTGCCTCATAAATAATGGCTACCATCGTGGGAACAGTTAGCGTTGGTTTCAGAAATTCTTTTTTTTCTCTTTTGATACGTCATATTCAAGCCTGTTACATGTCACATAATAACTAAAACAGAGCCTCTTCAAAACCCATTCATTATTTAAAAAACAAGATGAAATACTAAGATTTTCCCAAATCAGCTATGAGCATGATCAATGATGCTATGTCATGACTTTTTAGAATGTGGGGTGTGGGTGTAGATGATAGAAATATACACATTCACACTCACACTTACGTACACTCTATTTATCTGAACAGATGTCTATCTTACCATTCTTCATGAACAAAAGAGAAAAAGAATATAAACAAAGAGATGTCAATCAGCTGCTACTTCCTTCCAAAAAAGTATTTTCCAGTAGCCGTCGGTATTCTCTCGCAGAAATCACTAGTTTTCGAAAACATATACTTCGCTTAGCTCTTCATCGAGAAGGAAGAGTGGAAAATAAGTAATAAAAAATTCTTCAGATTTTTCTTTTCGCCGGAGGATTAATTTACAGCAGAGATGATCTCTTTTCAGCATAACTTTTTTTTGCCAAGGAGATATACGAGAAAAATTTCAAGATTGATTAGAATTAGTAAAAAAATTGAAAAAATAATTAATTGAGTCTATTTTTTATTTGTTGGGACTGTGTATATGTTGGTATTTTTAAAAAAATACTTTTTATGCAGACTGTTTCGTGAAAAATATTTTGCAGAAGAACTCGCCGTCATAAACATAGTTTGTCGCGTCGTGTCAACGATTCAAATCTTTAGTTTCTCCTCTATTTGAAACTAAATTAAAAATAACATTTTAAGATAAAGCTCAAGGGCAAGAAAGTTTTTTGTGATGTTGTTTGCTGGTGGAATATTCTACTCTCTCCACCTGCACCTACAACTTTTGTTGCTGCATTCTTATCATTGGGCATGACATCTATGAAGAAGAGAGAAAGAAAAGGTCTCGAAATCTGTAGTTGTGAAACACTTAAGCAGATCGTTGTTCCTTTCCAGAAGTGATAATGAAGAAAGACTGACCTATTTGAGAGATGGAAAGATGTATAGGAATAAATTCATTATACTTAGGATCCAATAATCAAAGCAAAACTTTCAAAATACTTGAACTTATACGAGTGAAAGTGGGAGCACCCAATTATAGTTTTGTTGCATTCTTTGGTATAGTCGAACCGTAAAGTCGAATGAACATTGTTCTAATTAAGGTTCCTACAACATTTAATCTGAACAATTTTTATTCACATTGCAATCCACTTTTTTTTATTAGACTCCATAGAATAACATGTGTTTTTTTCTTTATAGTAAAAAAGAAGCAACGTTCACGTTCTTGTATTATGGTTTTTTCTTCAAGTAATTATTTTTCGGCTACAGACAACAGAAATGGAACTTAAAAATTTGGTCATAATTATTGGAGGAGGATGGAGTGAAATTGGAGTTGCTGGTTCATTAGTGTACAACAGGTTTGATGATTATATTTTACTAAACAAACAAACTGTCTCGGAGGTTGTTGGAAATATTATACTTACGATTCTGCACGAATGCACGACCGAAGTAGATTATATCTAACACCTCAGGATCTTTCAGAGAAGTATAAGGATCATTTTCTTTTGCAGTCCGAAGTACCAATATATTTACAGCAATAAGCAGAGTATTATGGGAATATCGAATCACGTAATTATTTGGGTTTAGAGTAACACGAGTTTCTCATCAAGAAGATCACGAATTCTATTGGAGAGTAACTGGAATCAACTTGATTGAAGGTATTGAAAGAATTTACATTTGTAAATACCTTTGTATTGTAACTTCTTATTGTCGAGTTCCGTATATTTCAGAAAATATAATGAAATCTATGGATCGTTTTAAAAGCAGGGTAATTCATTCAGCTGGCTATAAAAATCCTTCTACTTTTGACATTTCAAAACATAGAAAAATTCTTATTATTAGAGGTGGTCATTCCTCTACAGAAATATCAATTCAATTAACAGATGCTGGATTTCATGTCACTATTGTACATCGTGGTGGGCAGTACTTTATGAGACAATACGCTTGGACACCTTACCTATCAAATCAAACAATTGAAAAACCTCTACAATATTGGGGATATTCGATGGCAGATGAAAAATTTTCCGAAAAACTCTATTATTTTAATAATGAAACTCATTTGACAATACCTCTATTAAGACCTGCTTCTTTTATAATTTCAAATAAGAAAATATTTATTGATGATGCTCATTTCTTTGATTTACTTCAAAAAAAGTCCATTGAAATTAAAGGAAGTGTTAGAGAAATTATTGAGAAAGGGATTATATTTGAAAACAAAGCAGAAATTCAAGAGTTTGATGGGATAATTTTATGCACTGGATTTTCGCATGGTCGGGAACAATTCTTCGATGATGCAAGTCAATATTAAAGTAATCATCGTTATCTTCATTTACCACCAGAAAGATCATGTTTGTCAAGAACAGATGGTAAATGCAAATCAATAATGAAAAACAATCTGTATTTTCCAGAATTTGATTATGGAATTAATCAGAGAGTTGATTTTGCTTTATATTCATGGTATGTTGGAGAAAGAATACTTAGTGACATTAGGGGAAATGATTTTATTTCTGAATTGTGTCCTTCTAAATTCAAACAAGACAAAACTAAAGCTGATGATGTACTGAATTTGTGCTAAAATTGAAAGTGACTATTGCCGATTGACCATTTATTTAAAAAAATAACAGTGTAAATAAAAATTTCGCTAACATAAACAGTATTAAATTTAATAAGTTCTTGATATACTTGACAGAAGACGTAAAACATACGTGTGCAGCAACCTTGAAATGATTATGTACTCGCTTTGTTAGACTAAATTAGTTTGTACCACTCAACTTTTGGACAAAGGAGTCTCGAAAAGCTATTTGACATCTTTTTAATTTTATTTGCTTCTAAAATATTTAGGATAAACCAAAAGTAGTGGCGTCATTACTTTATTTCCGTATAGAAAGCTTGAAGAAAGTGACACATGAACGTATATTATCAATTGCGTTTCGTCACACAACTTTTGGGAAAAGTGACTTTTCGTCTCACTTTTTCATTACGAACTCCGGTTGGAATAGTCCGTTACGATCTTCGGACATAAGAAAAAAGGCAGGGTGTTCGTAATGAAGTTTTCAATCGCAAAAGTCAATGAAATATAACAAAAAATAGAATGTTCAGAATGAAAACGGGAGGAGGTTGGTAACTACTTTGAGATTTACTCACCTTTGAGAGATTGTGAAGTGACACGCTTTTCTTACAGCCATTCTTGTCCATAAAAACAGGAGGAAAAGTCTTCACATCCGTTACGATCTCCCAGTAAATTCTTCTACAAACTTCCTGCCAATGTCATTCCATTCTTCCGACCTTTTTCTCTAACAATCCCGTTATACATACATTCTGCACATCCGACCTTGTTCATTACGATCTCCGACCACTAAATTACATCAAATGTATCAAGAAGCATTCAATTTCGAGCATCCAGTTACATGTCCGGAGTTCGGAATGTTTTAAGACGAAAAGTACGTCACCCAACTTTTGTTCGACGATGAAATCGATACCAAATTATGAGAATAATATTTCATTGGTCTGTCTCTTCTAAAGTCTTCTTTGTGCACGTTCAACTAGTCAGCTTCATCAATTTTCTTTCTTCTATTGTTCCATTTACGAAATTACTCAAAAAGTCGCATTTATGCGTCGACTGTGGGTATTGGGCGGTTCATTATGAGTCCAGATATCTCTCCGATTCGTAAAAGAATGAAATGTTTTCATCATACTGGTAACAATTATAATGCTAGTGCTCATAATATCTGGATTATTGTCGAGGAAAATACTGAAAAAAAGGGATAAATAAATGTGAGAACAAAAGTGCTCACTTGATTGTTCACTTTTGATCAAATTTATTCGTAAGCGTCTTTCTGAAAGAGAAATTTCACAGTAGAAAAATATTACAGCAGATATAACATATTAACAAACCATTTAGAAAGCTTCCGTTTGTGAAAATTGATGTAATTTCTTATATCGAATCTAATGAACAGGGTTTGCTCTGTAAAATTCGCCGTATATGATCTGCAGTATAGTATCTACCATATGCCATCTAGCGTACAACATTTGTCAGACAGAAACTAATTCATAGAACTTACTGACTTTATCCAAAAAATAATTCAAATTTGATTGAAATTATCAAAAAAAAGATACCAGCTTTTGCATGATATCACACTAATATCTGCATACACCTACAAATACCTCCTGACATGGAGATGATATCCTTAGTAGCTAATACTGTGACGATTTTTAGGTAGAAGAAGAGTTAGCGCTGATGGAATTACGCTTTATTGTGTTTCTTCTTATCAAGAATCGCATCATTTGCATACAAAGCACACGCTTATATACACAACCAGAAGAGAGAAAGAAGGGAAGCCAGAAGGTAAGGAATATAGAAAGAGAACATGAAGTAGAAGATATGGTTAACAGAAAGGAAAGTTATGAGAAAGGGCAGATACAACAATATCGCTACAAATACGTAGAAATATCCCCTGATCTGCAATAGTCCTAATGTGATGTCTTGCATCGCGAAGACTAGTATATACGCTGGTACCTGCTGGAATAGGTACCCTCTGATCAATTTTATCATATGCAATTGAGATTTCGTAGCACTGTCAAGTCGGGTTCGGTGTGGGCGTGGATATGGAAGCGGATGCGGTTCTTCTCAATAGATACTCACATTCAAACCCACACCCACACCCTTGTTTTAGCCAGCAGCTTTGGAATAATAGAGCATAGCCATTTCTAAATCTTGTGGAATATTCTCATCACCGTCACGGTACTGATGAGCTTTTATGATATCTTCTCTAGTTGGATCTATATCGCTCATAATTTTATTAGATAAGCACAGTTCACTAAGATCGAGTCCTCTGGACAATTGCAGCAAAGTCAGTTGTTCACCAATAGTGCAAGGCATTGTACGTGGGTCAAAATGTCCTTCACGCTTCGGACGACTAAGTGTTTGTCTATAGTCAGCAGGACCGAAAATCACTTGCGGATCATGTGGTTTAAAGACGAGAGCACGTTTCCGTGAATGAATTGCATTCTCTAGCTCATTCGAAATTGGGTATGCTTGACCAACACGATGGTGCGCTATGGACCATGCCGAGCACAGCTTGCATGCTTTTTTGATATCCTATAAATTGTGTCGGATAGTTAACTTTAAGAGGCTTAACTTTAATCTGCAACGCTTGGTAACACACGTCCTCTTCACTT